CTAGGTTGCCAGGCAGAGGAAGGCATAGTCGTTGACTTTTGACTACAATTGAGGCCAAAATGTTGGTTGCTAGCAAGACTGTTAAAGAGCTTCATCAAATTTTAACCAATCCATGACATCTCCTGGTGAGTGACATCAAGTTGGCCATGCCCACTCAATCACACGACCGCCAAGCGATATGCACAGAATTGGTAGTAAAAAATTTTGAAACCCAACCCTGGGACATATGTCTGCTCATTATTTTAAAGCCAAGAAGAAAGTCCTGGGATCACATCATTGGAAAACACAGGTGGAAACCTGAAGGACAGGCTTCTTGGTTATAGCTTGCCATCTCAGGTCAGGATGAATGCTGTCTACCTTTTAGGAATATGCCTGCCTAGAATGTATGGAATAGGTGACATACAGAAACCAGTATGAATAAAATGATAAATAAACTGCTGTGCTTTTGTGAATGAGCTAACTAGTTTAACTTGAATCCTGTTGCCTTCAAATCTCATTTCCCATATTAGTTTAATTCTCTAATTTTAATTTTAGATCAGATATAATCCATCATAATTGACATGAATAACACTGTGAAAGAAGAAATTTACAATGCATTGAATGAACTCATTGAACAGCAATTTAAAGAATTTAAATGGAGACTAAATTCTATTGATTATAATGGAAGGCCAAACATTTCTACAGCTTCACTGGAGAAAACAGAGGCACAAGACGTTGTAGATCTCCTGATTCAACATTATGGAAAAGATGCTCTAGAGGTATGCATTATTGTTCTTCGAAAATGCAACAGAAATGATCTTGCAGAAAAACTTGAAGAAACTGGACAGAAAGGTAAGCAAACCCAACATATTACAGAAATGTTATCTCCACTAAAGATCAAATGGCAATAAAGATCCATTATCATTTCTTTGCCACTGAATCTTGCTCGTCTGATTTATTGGTGGTGGTCAGGATCAGCAGTCTGAGATTCCAGATCTTGAGCTTGAAATCAAACCTAAGGGAACATCTGCACTATCATTCAGCTTGACATTTTCTTCTCACTGTTAAAACAAATGGATAGGCCAAGTTCAAGCCAAAGATGTTAGTTCATTGATCTGAATTTAAGGAAGATCTTTAAAATTTTAATTTAATCCATCCTTTTTTCCAGCATCCTTCCTGACATAATACAGTATTAAAGTATCTTATAGGTTGTGATGCTACTGTTGCTACTAAGGAAGAGAGCAGGGCATGTTATGCTGGGTGGAGTCAGAGAACAAAGGAGAGCAGCAGTCTCTTAATTCCTTTTATGAACTACCAAAAGAAAATATTTTTAAACTATATTTTTTCTTCAAATATATATTGAGACAAAATATCCTACTTTTATATACTGTATATATTTAACCCTCAAAGCAACCAGCAAAAAAGAAACTCATTGAACAGATGACTGACACTATTGTGGTATGCAATATATGTTCAATGTGTGTGCTTAAGCCCAAAGAATATCCAAATTATAAATGTATTAAATGTAAACTACATGAACTACTAGAAGAAATAGCAAAGGATCTAGAGACAACTCTAGCCCAACTCCAACCTTGGCAAGGGATGGGCCATTTGGATGTGGTGGGACGTGGGCAGCGGCAGGGCGTCTTCCATTCTGCAAGGCTTTTTAAAGCTNTATTTCTTAATTAGTTACATCACAATAACAATCTTACTACTATTCTCTTTAGTCTACAAATATAGTTCTTTTTCCCTTTCTTCCTCTTTTAATCGTTTTCTCTTGGGCTCTCAAAAATTCCAATTTTAATTCTTTTCCTTTTTCTCCCCCTTTCCCCTAACTTCTTTTTCTTTTTCCTATTTTTTTTTATTATTGTATCTTTTCTTCAAAGTATTTACTTTTATTATTCTAGTAACTTTCCCCAGGGTTTTCCCTGTTCTCCTCCTTTCTTTACTATTTTGTGGTTTCTTTTTTGGAACATCTCCTTTATCTGTTTTTACTTTGTGATTGTATATCCCAGTGAAATCTTCTATCTGCATTTTATTTTCAATTCTTTTTTTCCCCACCTTATCTTCCTGTGCTGCATTTGTGTTCCCCTCTTCTCCTATTCCTTGTTCTGGATGTTCCCTTTGATTTCCTGGCTTTTCTTTACCAATTAACATTTCACGCATGCTTTTCAGTATCACAAATAGTTCATCATACATCCAAATCTCCATTATGCAAGTTTAACTATTTTAACTATATAACTATTTTAACAGATTTTTAAATTTTTGGGTTCTACCACATTTAATTGCAAATTATGGTCTTCCAAATTCTGTTGCTCAATTTTAAAATTTGTCCAGACCAATCCAAATTAAGGTTTCCTTTCTCTTCCACTGCTATAGATAATTACAGTCAAAACAATGTTTTTGTTTACAAAGTCTCTTCCTGTATCCAAGGTCACACTGCAGCCGCAACTCTCACTCCCCCCCTTCTTTCTTTTTTTTGAAAGGATTTTTTTAAAATTTTTGGTTAAACAAACACAACAGAAAAATAAAATACAATAAAATAATCTTTTGTTACATATTGTAGAAGTTTGTTGATTGGTTATAAATAACTTTTGTTCATCTCTTCCACAGTCATTACTTATAATTCATATCA